TACATGGGCTTACAGTTGAGCAAAATCTAACACAAAGCCTATTTTATACTAAAGTGTTGAACATCCCATATAATTTATTGAATACTTCAAAGTGAAGGACAGAATAGTTGTAGGAGTACAGAATGGCTGTCAGAGTATTGGTTGTTTACACCCGTGATCATGTGGCTCACTGGTAGCTGTGGCTCACTGCTCATGCCCAGCATCACGACAGTATCATACTCCCTATCACTGGCCCAGGAGAAGATTCAAATCACAATTCAAAACAAATTTTTTTTTCTTTTCTTTTCTTTTCTTTACAGAGAGAGAGAGTGTGTGAGCAGGGCACAGGAAGAGAGAGGGAGAATTTTAAACAGGCTCCACATTCAGCACAGAGCCTGATGCAGGGCTCAATCCCACGACCCTGGGATTGTGATCTGAGCTGAAATCAAGAGTCGGATGCTCAGCTGAGCCACCCAGGTGGCCCACAGTTCACAATTTGAAGCAGTTTCTACAGAATGTGTATTGCTTTCCCACTCTTATGAAGTCAAAACTTCATGAAATACAACTTCATGTAGGTGGGGGACCAGACACTTTATTGCACTTCAATTTATAAATCCCTGTCATATGCATGCGTCATTTGACCTGTAAATGATATATCATCATTTGATGTAGGGTGTACTAAGGTTTAGAGATGTGACTTGCCCAAGATTACTAACCATTAAAATGTAGAGTGGGAACTTGAACCTCGGTCTTCTGTTCTCTTGCCAATTTCTCTGTTCTTTCTATTGTTCCATAGGAATCTAGTGAGTTACTACTAAAGGTTTTAGGCCTAAATTATTTTTTTTCTGGAATTCTCATTCCACAGCCTGTTTCCTTGTGTGTAGTCATTACTTTCATCATTATGTGAAATACAAATGTGAAAGCATTTGGAAAGTTGTAAGGCACTGGGCAAATTTACACTTGAAAGCTAATTAAATCAGCTTTTTTTCCCCCTCAACCCAGGGGAACTACAGTAAATTGGCAAGTGAATTGGTGAAGAGGATTACCTCTGTAGCATTTACAGTAACTCTGATATACTGTTGGCTAAATTAGGAGGTTCTCTAAAAAAGAGAACAGTGACTGGAAGAAATCTGTGGGACTAAGTCTTACAATTTGGGAACTTCAGTGGATTTACAGTCTAATGCTAGAACCTCTTTGACCCAGTTCAGAGAGGCATAAAGGAGCTCTCCAACGTGTGGAGGATCTGAAAGGATCCACTAACCCCTATAGCTATTTACATTGATCTCAAACCCAACAAGGATTCCCTTGATTTTGTTCAGGGCCCCACCACTCATTCTCTGGGATGCAGAGCATTGGGAGATTTTGAGAGCTTCTGTCCCTCTTGAACACCCAATGCTATTTACATGTGTAGTAACACATACCTAGCACTTTTTTTTTAATTAAAAAAATATTTTATTAGGTTTGAGAGAGAGAGAGAGAGAGAGGGAGAAAGAGAGAGCATGCGAGTGAGCACAAGCAGGGGAGGGGCAGAGAGAGAGGAAGACAGAATCTGAAGTAGGCTCCAGGTTCTGGGCTGTCAGCGCAGAGCCTGACTCTGGGCTGGAACCCACAAGCTGTGAGATCATGACCTGAGCCAATGTCAGACGCTTAACTGACTGAGCTACCCAGGCGCCCATATA